TGGGTATATTCTACCAGGAAAACCAATTGCAAACTTGCTTTTCAAAATCTATGGACGAATCAGCACTGTCCACGCTCTTTCTTTCCTGTCTGACCTCAAACTTGGGCACTATATGAAGATTCCACCTCGGTGCATGTACACTGCTCAGGTATTTGATTCAGCACAGAAACCTATGCTTAACCTTTCTGTTTTTGTTCCTAAAGGTAATTATTCCCGGTTTGACACTTGTGTTTTTTTGAAACTGACATTTCATGATGTTTGTTCCCAGCTGGTGGGAACTCTAGTTGCCGGTATTGTGAACCTCGCAGTTGCATGGTGGATGCTGGAAAACATCGAGAGCATATGCGATGTTGAATCCCACAATCCAAACAGCCCGTGGACTTGTCCTAAATACAGAGTCACCTTCGATGCTTCTGTTATATGGGGTCTGATTGGACCAAGGCGACTGTTTGGACCCAGAGGATTGTATAGGAACTTGGTGTGGCTATTCCTTGTTGGAGCTTTGTTGCCGTTTCCAATTTGTGCAATGAGCAAAATCTTCCCAGACAAGAAATGGATTCCATTGATCAACATGCCAGTCATCACTTATGGCTTTGCGGGGATGCCGCCTGCAACTCCCACCAATATAGCAAGCTGGCTTATCACCGGAGGTATCTTCAACTACTTCGTGTTCAAATACCACAAGCGTTGGTGGCAGAAATACAACTACGTCCTGTCTGCAGCTTTGGATGCGGGGACAGCTTTCATGGGTGTCCTCCTATTCTTCGCCTTGCAGAATCCGAAGCACGAATTGAAATGGTGGGGGACTGAACTCGATCATTGTCCTCTGGCGACATGCCCCATTGCACCAGGTATTCACGTTGAAGGATGTCCAGTTTTTTAAATAGCCATGAAATCGTGGAACAAAGAGATATTTGAAGAATAAAAGCTAAGGAGGAGGGCTATCGTCGTAGTTATGGAGGAAGGGAAGATGGTGTGCTCTTAGCAAATGGGAGGATTTCAGGGTTGGGAGTTTTCTAGTTTTTAATGCTTTACAGTATAACCGGAAATGTATCATTCAGATGAAATGTATGGGTGTTCTTGTTAATTATCTTAGAATCAATTTAATATGAATGAATGGGTATAATTTTACGTTTCTGTGCTGAATCCCATTCTTCAATTTTTTTTAATTTTACACAATATTGTTACTGAAGAAATTAGATTCTAAATGACGGACAACTTGAATAGTACATATAAAAGGAAAGCTTATATATATGGACTATGGACTACGGACTAGGGGAATATCAGTTGCATGAATAAGAGAAATATCATCAACACAATATAACCGATATTCCCTAGTCCACACGGTCTACTATCATCATTGAATAGTTAACGGAAATCAAAATCATGAAAAGTAAGATTTACATAAACAGAATTAAGTTTAGACTGGAACAAAAAACACAAACAATATTAAGCTAAAAAAGGATATTTAAATGCTTTAATAAATTCGGATGAATTGGTTCCTGAATGATGATATTATAATAAACATCAAACAATCCCTTATTCAATCCTACAAGAAGGTTATACTACATTCAGGTTGGGATTATAAACAGTTATGAGCGACTGGATACAGTGCAATTGGGCATGGACCATTTGTGGTCCACGGGTACATGCTGCAACCCCAGTCTAATGAAATGTATTGTTATATACATACACATAATTTTTCAAGGCACGTACCTTTAGATATGCCCTGCTATAAGTCTTTAGGGTATGTATGATTTAACAAAGAAATAAAAGAAATATGTTCTCCTCCACTCCCACAAAGAGCCCCAGAATCAATACACATCTTCATACTGCATGTGCAATATGTAGCATGCCATTGCCATGGAGGAGGCTGGTTGTCGTGTGTTTTACTGTGTTGTGTATCAGTATGTAATGTACCCCACTTTCTCACTTTGGGAGTTACGTTTTTGGCATCACATGTCCCCCTCTTGTCCCTCATTGACAGTGGAACCTTGGACCCTAGCAGATCAACTTTACCAACGAAATAAACAAATGTAAAATATATACATATATATACCTGTATTCAAGAAACCAAAGATGTATGTACAAAGTCCACAAGTCGACGGCTACGGAAGACAACCTAGTTAGAGCATCTCCGATGCAAATGACTCAAAGTTAAACCTATTTTTTCATATTGAATGAACTTTTTCTTATTGGCATATGTTCCACTAAGGACTCAAATCTCATATTGAAACCAAAATTTAACTCTCACTTTTCACAAAATCCAACTATGAATTTTAAGTTTTATATGCATTGGAGAGTTTTGCCTTATTTTGAACTCAAATACGAGATTTGATTCATTGCATCGAAGATAATGCAACCAATTAATAAAACCCGATCTTCTGCTAAAAGAATCAATTATTTGATGCAGATGTATATTCATAATACACACAATTGTATGTCTGACAAGTCACAAATGATTTATAGAGCTCAACATTAACAAAATAAAAAAAAGAAATTATACGTGTTTCTGAATGCCATTCTCTTGTATAAATCACAAGAAATCAAAAAGAGACATTAACATTGGTTTCTTTCTCTCTCTATAATTTTTGCCATATTTTTGTGTTTTTGCAAATGAAATTTACTTTTACAGAATCAAATAATTTTTAAATTCATTTTCATTATTTTGTTAGATGAAGGCTTCCAATCTATCCCATTGATTCTCCCCTTCACTGCAAGACACTGCCGAAAGTCTTAGTCTCTTAGGTATATTACCACCAATTGTCTGATTGAGTTTTCTTATGGTAATCCCATAAGAACAACTCCATCTCATATTGTTTATAATGGTAAATTCAAGGGTCGCAATGTATCTTTCGTCCTACTAATTAGGATGGATCATAAGGATGGTTGGATAAAAGATTCAAAATCTTTTCTTTATGATCATTTTCTGAGGGTTTACTGGACCTAATGGCAGACTGTTGTGGACTGAGAGAGTGAGCACTCAGTGACTATTTTACTGGAAAAGAATTGCATGAGTCTAGGAATAAACATGTATCCATTCTACTATTATTCCTATTGTCAGGATTGTCTGTGATTTTAAATCAAAAGGAAAACATTTTCACATTAGTGTCGATAGTTTGTATTGGACGGGAACCCGTGTAGTTGTTATATTTCGTGGGTTAGGAGGAGACCCTGGTTCAGTGGATGATGATTGTGGCTTAGAGAAAACACCAATGTCTGTTTTTGGAGGTTCCTTCCCTGATTGTTTGGTGAATTTCTTTACGTGCATTCGTGAAAAAATTTAAGTTTTCGTATTTTTGAAGTTTTTATTTGCTTTTCATTTGGATTGTTAAAATTGTGTCTACTTAATCAGTACCAATACTGCCCGCTTGATTACTTGCTTCAAAACCAATATGCTTTTATGAGTTCCGAAGTAAGAGTTTGTTGGAGGACCTATGTTGTTAGATATGTATTGGAGGGACCTAGTAGAAAGTCAAACATGAAGGAGCTACATAGACATTGGAGAATTCATGGAAAACGAACTCATGAGAGAAAAGTTGTCATTCCACAATGGCGGAATGCATTGCATTACACAATGGAGAAAGGTTGTCATTTTCAGAATGCCATTCTATTGTACAAAGGAATGTAATGCAGTTCTCCATTGTGGAATAACAACTTTTCTCTTACGAGTTCGTCTTCCATGAATTCTCCAACGTTTATGTAGCTCCTTCATGTTTGACTTTCTACTAGGTCCTTCTAATACGTGTCTAACAACATACGACCTCCAGCAAACTCCCACTTTCGAAACTCATAAGAGCGTATTGGTTTTGAAGCAAGTAATCAAGCAAATAGTAATCGTACTAATTAAGTAGACACAATTTTAACAATCCAAATCAAAAGTAAATAAAAACTTCAAAAATACAAAAACTTACTTTTTTCACGAATGCACGTAAAGAAATCCACCAAACAACCAGGGAGGAACCTCCAAAAAGAGATATCGGCATTTTCTCCAAGCCAACATCATCATCCACTGAACCAGGGTCTCCTCCTAACCTACGAAATATAACAACTACCCGGTTCTCGTCCAATACAAACCATCGACACCAAAGTTAAAATGTTTTCTTTTTGATTTAAAATCACAGACAATCCTAACAATATCCCTGACAATAGGAATAATGGTAGAATGGATGACATGTTTATTCCGAGACTCATGCAATTCTTTTCCAGCAAGATAGTGACTGAGTGTTCACTCTCTCAGTGCACAACAGTCTGCCATTAGGTCCAGAAAAGTCACAGTAAACCCTCAGAGAATGATAATAAAGAAAAGATTTTGAATCTTTTATCCAACCATTCTTATGATCCATCCTACTTAGTAGGACGAAAGATACATTGCAACCCTTATAAATAGTATGAGATGGAGTTTTTCTTGTGGGGTTACTATAAGAAAATTCAATCAGACAATTGGTGGTAATATACCTAATAGACTGAGACTTTCGGCAGTGTCTTGCAGTAAAGGGAAGAATCGATGGGACAGATTGAAAGCCTTCATCTAACAAAATAATGAGAATAAATTTAAAAATTATTTGATTATGTAAAAGTATATTTCATTTTCAAAAACAAAACCAAAAAATGACAAAAATAATAGGGAAAGAGAAACCAAAAAATTAATACCTTTAAGTGCCTTGTTATACCCAGAAGCTAAACTTGGTGCTGGTTCTGGTTGCCTTCGGAGGGAGAGGGTGATGAAGAGAATGAAAAGTATGGGATGAAATTTTGGGCAATGAAAGAAGTTGGATTAGGGGCTGTGTAGTTTTAGAAACAATGTGGCTACGATGGTGGCCAGGACCGTTGCTATTTACCAGCAACCTCCACATATAAAACCCTAAGGGTGTGTTTGTTTACCTTCACTAAGTCTCACTAGACTGGACTGGACTAATAATTAGTCTAAGCCCATGTTTGTTAGCAACAAGGACAACGTTTAATGGTATTAACCAGGGACTCGCGTCGACTGAAACCTTCGCTAGAAGGTCTTAGCGAGAACCCTCCAGAACGAGCGGACTGCTAGTCCTGCTCTCTCCCTTCTCTTTCGCACCTTCGCCCCTTCGCCCTTTCGTCTTCTTCTTCCTCGTCGCACCTTCACCCTTTCGTCTTCTGCTCCCTTGTGGGTTTCCAGCCACGTACTCTGCGTTCGCCACCAAAAGCCTACTCAAGTGGGCGAATAAGCACTGCGTTCGCCGCCAAAGGCCCCCCTCAACGACCCATTCTCCAACCCCAACAACCTATTAATTAGTTTTGTGTTAATGGTGTTTGATGAATTTATGTCAATTTAGGTTAAATTTTGTTAATTTGGATGAATCTCGTTAATGGGGTTTAATAAATTTATGTTAATTTGGATAAATCTTATTGGATATTAAAATTCCATTATTGTTCTTTATTTATTTTTTATTTTTTTTTTGTCTGCAGATTCTTGAAGCAGTAGAGAAAAATGGGAGTTTCAATTTTTTTGGAATCATCGGTTTTGGCATTGGAAGTCTGAGGGGTTTCTTGTTGGGTTTCTATGTTTTCGTCATTTCAGAGCATGAGGAAGTGAGGGTAAATCTTTTATTATTTTTCAGTGGAAATTATCCCTCTGTTTTTTGTTGTTGCTCATGGTGTTTGCTCAATCGATTGGGTACTTTTGTGTTTAGAGATTTTGGATTAAGCAATTGGTTGAACTTGACGGTCTTGCATGTAATTGATTGCATTCAGTATCACCTACATCTTATGAACCGCTGATTTTGCAGGGACACTGTTCTGCAGCTCTGTGAGAGGTACAATTGCTTGTGTATGATTCTTAGAATTGATGCTCTGTATGTAATTTAGAATCTTAGAATTGATTTAAATTTGAATGATGTAGGTAGATGTGAAGTGGGTTAATTTAATGGTTGAATTGGTGGCGGTGTTGGGTGCAGGTAGGGGTGGACATGGTGGCAGAGCTGGTTGGAGTTACATTGGGTTCAAAGGGAAGGAATGTGGTGCTGCAAAATAAGTATGGACCTCCAAGATTGTCAATGACGGTGAAACTCTCCTCAAATAGGTAATTGGTTCCACATTTGAATTAGCCAATTGCTGTTTTAGTATTTTAGAATCTTCGAATTGATTTAAATTTTAATACCGACATAAATTGAGTTGTCCTTGGTGGCATTAGTTTAACTTTAGTGTTAATAAACAACACTCAAAATGTTATCTACCAAATTATCGTTCATGGCTCATGTGTTCTAGTTGACATTTGTATCTAGAAGTCTGCATGAGCATCTCTTTATGGTTCCCCTTGTATTGCACACTGACTGCCCACAAAAGTTTGATCTTCCAGCTCCATTTGTATTGCACACTGCGGGACCATAGACAATTGTTGCATTCTATTTATGATGATGCAATCTGTGCATTTGGAGCGATGTAATCTGTGCATTTGGAAGGCTTTGCTGCATGTATAGTAGTGACAAATACAACATTAAACTAGACCTTGTATCTGTGGCAAAGGCTCTTCTTCTGAATATATGCCAATTAGCATTCTTGTGAGCCCAGAAGTTTCAGATGTCATATCCTCTCAGAGCATCAAGCTTGGTTCTTTTTCTCATGGGATTACATATTATGGACACCCCGTAGCCTGTGCGGTTGCAATTGAAACACTCAAGATCTACATAATTAGTTGAAGGGCATTGAAGAATATGTGAATGAACTCAAGTTTAAGCACAAGTAGTTGCAACTTGTATATGTATTGATAGCTCATGATGGTGAAAAAAATATGTAGACTTTCATGTAAAAGCAAAATCCTTTCCCCATTTTGTTTGTGAGATGAATGATATTTTCAATAAAGCATCTTTTATCTCTTTAAAAAAAATGTTTTTTAGACAAGAAAGTGGAAGTTTTCATAATTAAATATAAAAAATAAAAAAAAAATTTAGTCCTGGCTAGTCCGGTACTGCACCAAACGTTTCACAATTTTAGTACTACTTAGTCCAAGCCAAGCCAATCCAGCTTAGTCCCTGAAGTTAGTCCAGTCCAAGATAGTCCGGTGCAACAAACGCACCCTAAGTTCCTCGCCAATTCCGCCTCTTTGTTTTCTTAGTCCATTGTTAGATTCCGCCCCTCGTTTTCTCTGCCTGTCCCTTGTTAAATCCCTCTTTTTTTTTTTTTTAGGTAAATTACACTTTACCACTACAAATTTGAACAGATTTGAACAGATTTGAACAAATTTGAGGCCTATTACAAATACAACCTCATACATCATCCGTTACATTTTGACGTGGCAGCCATATTTATGCTAATTTTTTTATTTTTTTTATTTTTATGAATTTAAAATATAATAATTTACTATATTATAAAAAAATAAAAATAAAAATTCCCTGAAACCCATTCCCCTTCCCATGTTGCTGCTATCTCTTCTCTCCGATGGCCTCTTCTCTTCCTTTCCATCACCCCTCGAATCCACAAGTCCCCATCTCTCTCTCTCTCTCTCTCTCTCTCTCTCTCTCTCTCTCTCTCTCTCTCTCTCTCTTATTTTTCAAAATTTTCTATGTTAATAATTTTGACGTATATGTGAAGAAGTAGTTTAGAGGTTCCAACAATGTGTGCTCCCCAAAACCCAGAAAATATTTCCCCACAAAAGACACAGAAAAAGGCGTTCGCTTTCAACCCATCAAAGCAAAAGCAACCACGGAGGCTCCTCCATTTTCTCTCTTTCAGCCTCCCAAAGATGAGGACTCTCCCTCTGAGGTAATCTACCCATTCTCCCACTACTTTATGTTCCAGTGCTTTATGTTCATAAGAATCAGAACAGCATAATAAAAAATAAAAATAATAAAAACCTGAAACCCATCACTTTTCCCTCTTCACCTTCGACAACATACTGCAGCCACCACAAAGCCTCTAGCTTCAGCAATCCCCGAGTTCAACAACACATTAAAGCCCCATGAAGCCCCGAAACCAACGACTTTGCTGTAGCCCCGTGCTTTTCTTCTGCAATCCGAGATGAACACGACCTTTGCGGTTTTTGGATCTGAAGTCACCAGCGAGAAAACTTTCGTTGTTCACCAGCCGAAGATGAACACAAACCCATAAACCCAGAAAAAGCAATTGTTCTTATGTTAGGAACATCCCAGAAATTTTCCAAAGGAGATTTCAAAAAATGTAACCTTTTTACTTTTTTGATTAGGGTTGAGTGCAGGTTAATAATTTGTGAACTTGTATATTGTATTGATAATCATATTGTCACACAAGGCAGGACTTTTATACAAAGCTGATAAGCTATTCTAAGTAAACAGAACCTATAATCAAGCTAATTATATTTACATCCTACAATCACTCTATCACAAGAGTTGACAATTCCAGAAGCTATAATCACTCTCAATCAGATCACGTGATTTTCTTTCCTTTAACACTCCCCTTCAAGTTGGAGTGTGAATGTCAATCACACCCAACTTGCCTAGATGTGCGGAAAATAGGTGCACATAATGGCTTGGTAAACAAGTCTGCAACCTGCTCCCTTGTCCTAACATAGGAAGTTTTGATTTCTCCTTTTTGAACTTGCTCTCGGACTGTGTGGCAATCGATCTCGATATGCTTTGTACGTTCATGATACACTGGATTTGCGGCTATGTGTAAGGCGGCTTGGTTCTCACAAAATAATCTTGCCGGCTGAGGATGGTTAACACGCAAATCTTCGAATAAATATCTCAACCAACTTAATTCACAAGTGGCTGCAGCCATGGACCGATACTCCGCTTCTGCGGATGAACGGGCTACTGTAACTTGTTTCTTGCTTTTCCAAGACACTAGTGACTTTCTAAGAAAAATATAGTAACCAGTCACTGATCAACGTGTAATGAGGCAACGAGCCCAATCTGCGTCACAGTAACCAGTTAAATGTAATTCACTTTGGGAATAAAACATTAAACCTTGCCCAGGAGCTCCTTTGAGGTATCGAAGAAGTCGATACGCAGCATCAAGATGGTGTTGTTGTGGATTTTGCATAAACTGACTCAATGTGTTGACAATGTATGCTATTTCCGGTCTTGTGATGGTCAAATAAATCAATTTTCCAATTAAGCGCCTATACCTTGCAGGTTCATGAAGTGAAGTGCTTCCTGCGGGTGTAAGCACCAAATCGGCCTCCATTGGAACTTTCATAAGTTTAGCACCAAGTAAACCAGGCTCTTCCAATATGTCCAGTGTATATTTTCATTGGCATATTGTGACTCCAGCTTTCGAACGTGTGACCTCAACTCCAAGGAAATATTTCAAAAGTCCAAGATCTTTAATTCGAAATCGACTGCTAAGGAAAGCCTTTAGGTTCTTGATTTCTGTCTCTTTGTTGCCTGTAATCACCATATCATCAACATATAACAATACAATAATGAGCGAAGTACCCTTGACTTGAGTGAACAGAGAGTAATCTGCCTTAGATTGGCAGAAACCAATGTCACAGATTGCCAAAGAAAATTCTTGAAACCAACTTCTGGACGCCTGTTTAAGACCATACAAAAATTTGTGGAGTCGACACACAACATTCTCCCCCTGTCGATGACAACCCAGAGGAGGCAACATGTATACCTCTTCTTGAAGTGTGCCATGAAGAAAGGCGTTTTTTACGTCCATTTGATGTAAGGGCCAATTGCGGACAGCAGCCACAGTTAATAAGCAACGCACGGTAATGAGTTTGGCCACTGGTGCTGAAGGTCTCTTTGTAGTCGATACCTTCATGTTGGGTGAAGCCTTTGGCCACGAAACGCGCTTTGTAGCGTTCAAGAGTCCCGTCGGAGTGGTACTTGAGCTTGAAAACCCATTTGCAACTAATGGGTCGTTGTCCGGGTGGTAGTGGAACAAAACTCCATGTTTTGTTGTCTTCGAAAGCTGTGAGTTCGGCTTGCATTGTCGTAACCCAGTAGAGATTCTGATAAGCCTGTTCATAGGTAGCAGGCCCCACCAAGTGTGAAATATGAGAAACAAAGCGTTGATACGCAAGAGACAAGCAGGAATAGGAAACATACTGATGTAGTGGATATCTCGTGCTGGACATAGATTGCGAGATGAGAGCCGTGGGTGTGAGCAAGGTTGAATGATGAGCCACATAGTCCTTGAAATGAGCAGGGGGTTTGGTGGGATGAGTAGAGTGACGAGGGGATGCGGATAGGGAAGGTTCAGGCGGTGTGTGACTGTCGGTGGTGGCAGGTAGGAATGGGAAGGCTCAAGTTAAGTGAGGAAGGCTCGAGTGTGGTGGAGATCATGGGTGGTGGAAGTGGTGAGGAAGTCGCAAGGTTGGTCTGGGAAATAGGAACCTGATTGGGTGGTGAATCAAGCACCGTGGGAATTGAGTCAAAAGTGGAGGTGATGTGGGTATTGGTATTTGTGCTGTGTGTTGGGTGGATAATGGGAGTAACAGGAATGTCATTTTGGTCAATGGTGGGTAAGGTTGTGTAAGGAAATATATGTTCATGAAAGATGACATCTTGTGAGGTGAAGATTTTGTGTGTGACAAGATCATATACCTTATAACCTTTTTGGCCAAATGGATAACCAAGGAAAATACAACGACGAGCACAGACGCCAAACTTAGTGATGGGTGTGAGATTGGTGGCATAACTAAGGCATCCAAAAACCCGTAAGTGGGTATAAGTAGGTGGTGCGTTGTGCAAAAGTTCGTACGGAGACTTATGGGAGAGCAAGGGTGTAGGTAAACGATTTATGAGATAACAAGCAGTTTGGATACTTTCCCCCCAAAATTTTAAAGGTAAGTTGGCTTGAAATCTAAGAGCACGACCAATATTTAAAAGGTGCCTATGTTTACGTTTAACTATCCCATTTTGTTGTGATGTGTAAGGACAAGAATGTTGGAAGGAGGTGCCACACGAGTCTAGGTAAGGACGCATGGAAAGAAATTCACTTCCATTATCCGTATGAAGGGCTTTAATGGTACATTGAAATTGGGTTTTGACCCAAGAGAAAAAAGGACTTTAATAATGTTTGGGTGTCGGATTTGAAATTCATAAGATATACCCAAGTAAAACGAGTGAAATCATCCACAATAGTGAGAAAATATCATGCCCCAGAGTGTGTTTGGTGTCTGTGAGGGCCCCAAATGTCGTAATGAATTAAATCAAATGGTGCAGAAGTTTTAATTTCACTATTATGAAAAGGGTAAACGAGTTTGCTTTGCTGAGGGGCAAACTTCACAAATGTGTTTGGAATCAAACATTATTTCAGTATTATTCTTGGCCAATGAAAGTAAAGGTGTGGATGATGGGTGCCCAAGGCGCCGATGCCACAGGTTGGTGGTATGATGAATGTGGTTGGCAAGGTAAGGATTTTGTTTCGATGTAAGGTAGTAGAGCCCATCAAAATGCTTACCCAGGCCAATCACCCTCTTCGTATCCATGTCCTGCACAACACAAAAATAAGGATAGAACATCACTATACATCGCAAAGCTTTTGTCAATTTACTAACAGACAACAAATTGACGTGGAACTTTGGTACATAAAGAACTTTATCAAGAGATAACTCATGTGACAATTTTATAGAACCAATCTTTTTTATTTCCGCTTGTCCCCCATTTGGTAAGCCAACATAGTCATGCTGAGCATCCATGATATTGTGTGTTGGTGGTGAATGAGATATATGATCAGCTGCTCCGCTATCAACAATCCAATATAGAGTCGAATGTGGGTTTGTTTGTGCTATATTGCATTTAGGCGAGAAAATACCTGTTGCATTTGCAAGTGGCTGTCCATTACAATTACGGAGCATGGCGATGATTTGATTATATTCCTCGGTAATGAATGTAGG